TGATCTTAAGTCAAAGAAAAACAGACAATATTCTTTTTGCTCCTGTTAAAACCCTCCTAAACACTAAATAAATGAATGTGAAGAGAACTCCCATAATCCTTTGCTACATCACTTTTTGACGAGCTGGCTCCCTGTGAGGAAACGCACTGGAAATTGAATTCCCGAAAATTAAATTGTTTAGTGTTTTTCGACTGATTATCTTTAAATTAATTCAACATTATATATTCTCAAAATGGGTGAAAACGCAGTTTAAAATGGTTAAATGTTGGAGACAATGCTCGTAAAGGTCTCGGGGGGGGTCGTTAGTCGTTAGCGGTTAGCTCGCTTAGCGCTCGGGACAAAAAGGCTTCCTGTTGAAGTGTCCTCGGCTCCGCTGGGGTCTCCTTCTCTAAAGTCAGAGACCTGCTGGGAGACACCGGCCTTCTCACCCGCCCGCACGCTGCTGCCGCTCATGCGTTTTCCGCCCCCCCCCCCGGGGAAACGTCTGGGCCTAATCCCCCCGGGCTTTACAGAGGCAGCCGAGCAGGACGGCTTTTTCCTCTCCGGCTCTTATTTCATCCCCTTCCTCAACTCACGGCGTCATCGCTAACCACCAGGATACCTCTTTCATGTTTTCTAGAGGCCCGAAGCCTTCGACCTTTGACCCCCCCCATAATATATTTATTAGAATTATTTACGGATGAAAAAAAACAGCAACCTTTTGTTTAGCAGTAGTTTTAGGTGTTGCTTTGTTACACTTGCAAGTTGCTGCATGTTCGGCAGCTTAAACCCCCCCCGTCCCGTAGCCCCCCAAACCAAAAGGGCTTCATGATGTGTACAATGATAAAGAGCTTTAGAGTGATGCCTATCTTCCAATGTCCTGTGATGGGGCTGAAAGATCTGCAGGAAATCTTTGATGTTTCATATGATGTGGTGGTGCAGCCACATTTTGCTGTCAGCTAGAGTTAAAAAAAAAAAAGGAGTTGGATCACGCAAACGTAGAAGTGGTATTTCTACACAACACATGTGCAGCCATAGAGATATTTACCTTCAACAGGCTTTTCCTTCTTACTATATTGCTGCTGTTCAACAAAGCGAGCCGAGCCGCAGAAGAGTGGAGATCCGAAGGTTTACTGGAGGTTCCACCCGGAGGTCTCGACCTCTCCATCTCTGAGTGGAGAAATCCCAGCTGTCTATGTCACCGTTCTCTGTATCTCCATTCCTTCATTGTCGGTACCCTCCACTAGCATGTCAACAATCCAGTCAAACTATGGAAGAAAAGAAAAACCTTTTTCCTCTTCTCGTAATCTCCTGGGAATGAGAACGTTTGTCAGAGATACAAATTCTTTATTAATAATTAGCCTCAATGAACGCACTGGCTAGAGCTGCTAACGGTAACATAATCTCATAAATATGACATACTAAACCATAATTATTACATTTTTCTTTTTTGAATGCGTTAGTTAGGTATTATTATTGCATCATACGTCGTAACAAAAGTAAGGACAATGTTGCCTACTGAGGATCATAAATCATAGTATGAAAATGAAGCCGTACTATTCTCCTCTTCCAGATAAACACCAACGGATTGGTGTCTTTCGACGGGCCCCCGAAGGAGCAGGAGTACCTGGGGAAGATGCCTGCCGGTTTCGGAATGATTGCAGCGCTGCTCGGAGACCTGGAGGACAGCGACGGACAGGGAAAGGTCCATTTCAGGTGGGACAGCAGCCCGGAGGTCCTGAGCCGAGCCGCGGAGTACGTCAGCCGAGCTTTCCCCAGAGACGAGGGGGTGGAGCCCACCGCCGCCCTGGTGGTCACCTGGGAAAACATGGCCGCCCGGGGGACAACCGGGCGAGGAGACGGATTGGGCACAAAGGTGAGGGAGACTTTTTGATGCAATATAATGGACTTATGGGGGGGCTGTGGAGACACGGATGCAGTGCCTTAAAACTAACAGTGTCCCCCGTTGTACTTTCAGAGAAACACCTTCCAGCTGGTGGTGGCCTCCATGGAGTCGTCCTCCTGCGCCATCCTCTTGTATCCCCGGAGCGGTCTGCAGTTTGTCTCCACGTCGGTAGGGGGCGAGAACAAGCTCCTCGAGGCCGGCTTCAACCAAGGCCTCGTGGCGGGTTGGTTCTGGAAGGACTCGCAGGGGACTTACTTCCGCACCACCACAGACGAGGAGACCTCCGTCAGGGACCTCGCCGAGTATGAATCGAATGTCATTTGTGCTTGAATAGAACGCAACTAGTGACAGTGTCCTGTCCTCGCGGCTGATTTTTTTCTCCCTCTTTGATCCAACTAGAAAGACAAACTCGGGCCAGAATGGAGTTTGGGTGTACGAGATCGGCTCCTCGCCGTTCTTTCATGCCATTGCACCAGGAACGGTCACTGGCTTACTTGAAGAGGAGGAGGAAGCCACCACGCCTGCTGTGGAGGTGACTCCGACCGAGTATCAACCCAAATACCCAGAACCTGAGAGCATCACTCCAGGGTACACCGAACCGAAGACTGAAGATTATGAAGGACCTGGTCAATCTGAACCTGAGTACCCAGAACCTGAGACCATCACTCAAGGGTACACCGAGCCGACGACTGAAGATTATGAAGGACCTGGTCAATTTGAGCCTGAGTACCCAGAACCTGAGACCATCACTCCAGGGTACACCGAACCGACGACTGAAGATTATGAAGGAACTGGTCAGTTTGAGCCTGAATTCTCTGAATCGGAGACAGTCACTCCAGGGTACACCGACCCCGAAAGGGCTGAACGAAGATACCCAGACCCTTCTGAGCCGAGGTACCCCGACTCTGAGCCTTCCCAACCCAGATATCTGGACCCTGAAACCAACGAGCCGAGATACTCTTCAGTCGACCCGACGCACCCCGATCTAGTCCAACCGTAACCGCGCCATTCCCGGCCCCAGCAACCCCAGATCGTCGTGGTAGACGAGGAGGAAGCTCTCGATGTGACCGGTAAAAACCTTGAACATTTTCGTTCTTGATTCTCAAATCACATCAAAAGGTGTTTTTTTTGGCATTTGCCTTGATTGGCTGTCCTTTTGTTTTGTTTTTTACAGTTTTTGCGTACAATTCGGAGACGTGCGCCCACAACCGGCTCAAGTGCTCGGCTTTCGCAGACTGTCGGGATTACAGCAACGGGTACTGCTGCCACTGCAGGCCGGGTTTCTATGGTAACGGGAAGGACTGCGTAGCTGAGGGTGAGAAGCACTTTCAGCGTCAATAATTGTTACTAATATCCAAAGACGTATCAGCCGAGCTTGAGGTTATTCGTACAGATCGTCCGCAGAACTCGTATCTGCAGACTCTACTTTGCGGTCAAGTATCAATCAATAGTAGATTGGCCATTATCTCAAAATATGGAAAGAATGCATCAATTCCAGTTAATCAGAAGCTAACCAAAGACAATGCGGGACTTGGTTTGTTCGTCTCAACCCGTGGCCGAAGCTGCGATTCTGACTGGTAATCAGGTTTGTTGCTTCCCAGGCAAACCACAGAGAATGAACGGCAAAGTGAGCGGCCGAGTCTTCGTGGGCAACTCGCCCTCCGCCGTCGAGCTCAGTAACAACGACCTGCACTCGTACATGGTGGTGAACGACGGGCGGGCCTCCGTGGCCATCAGCAACATCCCCGACGCCCTGGGCCCCTCCATGCTGCCGCTGACGCCCCTTGGCGGCGTGATCGGCTGGGCCTTCGCCT